AAAAGAGACCAGGTAGGAACAATCGGATACCAATAGAGGACGTCTACAGTTAAGTAGAACTATCACATTTCGGGGTCGGTTGGCAAGAGATTTGGGCATAAGAATGTCATAAACTTGACATTAGAGGTAGAAGAGCGAGATAACCGCTGGTGGCTATTTCTCGCTGGCTATTGGTAGATAAATTTGTTCCCAGACGTGGTCTATGAGGTAGAGCGTAGACCACAAGATTTACTCGATGCACATGCCGCACAGCGATAAGGGATTCTGCAGCGTCAAGTTAGGTTGCCATGCCAAATGCGAATCCAAACTTTAGGGTTTTGTCCAGTGAGGCTGGTGTATATGTGCTATCAAAAGCTTGAGGAAGAGCGTAGAACATAACGCTTTGAGTATCACGAAGACGCTGGCAGCGATGGGGTGAAGTCACTGAAACAGACAGACAAGAGAAGGATCCTACGGAACAAGAGGGGACTCTGACAGGACCCAAAAGAGAGGATTGCGGATTAAACAGCAGCCTTGGATCAACACTATCGGCACAGTGTGAATATGCTTCAAATAGGTTTAGATAAATAAGTATGTAATTGTTATATTGATGGAGTGATACGAGGATATAGGATAAATGAGTACCCCAGGTAAGAAGAGAGATCCCATAACTGTTTAGTGGAAAATTGGTCAAAGAGCCGTTTTCACTTGCCCCTTTGACGAGTTGTATTATTGTGCAAGGAATGGCAAGGCTCACTGACTATGCCGGTGAAACGTCTGGGAATGTACAAAGTCCACCATTCCACTCTGGAAATAATCATGCATACTATGGACTCCGGGCAAGGTGCGTTCCTCTAGATCTTCCTTCCAATATGACCAAGTTGCGAAAATAATGTCAAACAACTGATATGTAACTAAAGGAGACCGCGACACGGTTTTCATACCTTCGAAGAGTATTTTATTTACCAGTAGTAAATAATCTAATGAGTGTTAATTGCAAAGTCTGTCTAGCTATGATAAATAATTATCTCTTATTGTATTATAAACGATGGCCAATTCAAGGGAGGGTGGTGCGATAGTAAATATATTGTGTGAATTTATGTTGGTCATCATTTATATTATTAGATTCGCAGCCAACTTTGGACGAAAATCGAAAGTATAAGACCAAGATGGTGTGGCCTTTTTTGTGGTCGCAGCCTCCTTCCGTTGTATAGAAGTTGTTTGACCTTGTTTTCACAACTTGGTCATATTGGTAGGAGGACTTAGAGGAACGCACGTTGTCCTGAGTCCATTGTATGCATAATCACCTCCAAAGTCGGAT